TCAAGAAGATAGAGTTGGATTGGCTAACGCTACCCAACCTGCAACATTACCCACCAGATAGAGAAGAAGGAAGGGACGTGTGGTACTGGGAGCACGATCAAGTAGAGGTTGATGTCGACTACGTACGAGGTGCCTACTATAGCGGCCACTACGACGAGTACGACCACGAAGGCAAATCTTACGATGACAACTTCTACGACGCTTCAAACTCGTCACTATACCCATCCTTTCGCCAGCCAGCCACGACACAGTCCTCGAACGCGAACGACCCCTTCGGTTTCGCAGGCCACTACCCGTTTGCCGACCCAACCCGCGACCCCGTCCGCGAAGCCTCCGCAGCGGACATAGCCACGAAACTAGATCTCCTTGTCTCAATGGAAGTCACACCACTCTTCACATACCTCGCTTCACCCACCTTCAACCTGGACAGCATAACACTGCCTTTAAGGTTTATATCCCGCGGTTCGCACCAAAGCCGCAGCGTCTCGCGGCCAGGTTTCGCTCTACCCCTCAAGATCAGGTACTGGGTCCAAGTCTGCGTGCACGCTCTTCTGATGCTCGCTTCTTCACATACCGAGGGTACATCGACGTCAACGCCGCTCCAGGAGGTACGCGTCAAGTACGCGCCCGTGGATATCTGGGCGTCCATGGAACCGACTGACGACTTGCGCCGTATTGTGGACGCTGGGGTCTGGTTCGATAGCCCAGAGGAGGGACAGGAAGTTGAGCGAGAAGGAGAAGGTGAGGCATTCCGTGCTGTGTGGGAAGGTATGCGAGCGAGGACGACACATGAAGAACGCAAGAAGTTGAGGAGGAGGTGGGGGTTGAAAGTGGACATTACGTTTCTTCCTTGGGATGGAGATATGGATAGTGGGAGGGTGGGGGATGAACTTGAGATTGTTTTTTCTAGGGATGAGCATGTTGCGATGGCGGGGTGATAGAAGACATTGGCTTTGAAACAATTGTATATCAATGAATCCCACAAAGTATGCTATTCAAGCAAGAAGAACAGGTATCATAACTCAGTAAACAAACTTTGGTGTTACATGATCACCACACTCTGACATCTAGTGCACCATGTCAATGTCTATCCTACCAAGTCCCATATTAGAACCCATATTCCGTCACATAGACGTTGAAAGAACATAGATTAGACATCGACAAAAGGAGACTGGTGCGTACATAATGGCATCCACGACACGATGATAATCTTCTACGCCACTCTGGCGCCGACACCTATCTTCAAAACCTCAGCAGTCGCTCATCCGCAGGTACCAAAAACGAAAGCCGTGGGTTCGTAGGCTGAGACGCAACCTAAAAGTCCCAGAAGCTCTTGTCCGCGCCCTTGCGTCCACCCATACCATCGCCCTCGGTCTTGATGGCAGTTCCCCTCGCGCTCCTGCTGAATCCACCACCATTCTCCTTCTTCGCCGGTTCAGGGCTCTCCTCGAAGAGAGACCACTCAGTGCCCTTGCGTCCACCCATGCCATTACCAGCAATGTTTATGCCGCGACCATCGGGTGAGTCGGCGTCAACGCCCCAGTGTGTCTTCATAGAACTACGGGTCTGGTTCTTATTCTTTGTGATGTCCGAAAGGGCGCGCGCATCGGCCGGGTCGACGTCGTTATCTGTGACGTTGTCGGAGTAGAGGCCCTGGCCTTTGTTGCTGCGTCCGCCTTTGGTGGGTGCAGGGCCGCGTTGAGCTTCGGGAGTGCCGTTATCGTCAAAGTCGAAGTGCGCGTCTTGGTCGGGGCGGGCCTTGTGGACGATGGGTCGACGAACAGGGGAGGTATCCTGAGGTGACATTGACGTTAGTATATGTTTCAGAAGTATATCAGAGACTTGGATGCAACCTGTGTCTCTGGCTGATAGAAAGCACCAACCTCGTCGTCGCTCCAGCCAAAGTGTCGAACCGCGCTGGGTAGCGTCTTGGGCTTCGACTTGTCCGGGGTGGCGAAGTCGTCGAAGTCCCAATGCGCGTCGTTCCTGTTGCGGTTCTGGTCGTGCTTGGACGGTCGTGAAGTGTCTCGTACCTTTGGCGTCTCTTCGCCTTCCCCGAAAGTGAAGTGGTCGTACTTCTTAGAGCTGGTCTTGATGCTCATAGGGGCGACTGGGTGCTCTTCCTCACCCTCCTCGAACAACCGGTTCGCCTTGTAGTGCTTTCCGCTGCCAGCCTTGGCTGGGATCCTCTGGGGTGACGGTGAAGGAGATCCAGCATCCGCGCCAGCGAACAGCTCGGAGTACTCGCGTGGAGGAGGCTTCGCAGACTGCGCGCGCGGTGCTGACGGACCAGAGCTGCGAGACTCTTCTTCGTCCACCTCGCGGGGCGCGAAGAGGGCAAGCGATGCATGCGGGTCGTTCATGGCATTGTTTGTTGATCTCCTTGAACGATCGCTAATGGAAACCTCATCTACGCCACGAGAGGCCGACGTTGATGGGCGCGACGAAGCGCTTGACTCTGGCTGTGCAGCTGCCGCGTTCGATGCAATCAAGCGAATCTGCTCGCTGCTGTCGCGGATAGGCCAGTTGCGAGAGCGCGCGCCAATGACGTCGATTTGCTTCAGGAGAGAGCCCTGGTCCCAGTACTGTCGGATCTGTGTGATCTTTCCTGACCTGTCAAAATGGACCATGTGGACCTGTCACCGTCAGTGAACGTGTGGAGAAATGGTTGGAAGGGTCACATACCATTGGGAACGTCACTGTGCGGTCTGTGACGAAGTTGTCGTCAAGGCCTGGCAGGTATGCGCCGCCGCCGTTGGTGAACTCAATCGTCGTCTCCATATCGACACTCAGGCCATTGCTGCTCTCAATCACATTCAGCACCTTCTCTTTGGTCTTTTTCAGCAGCTTCTCCTGAACAGACAAGTGCTTGATGATGGCGGTCGCGTCGTTGATGCTGGTCGTAGTTGTGACATAGTGAAGAGAGGCATTGTCCGCCAGCGCGCCCGAGGAAGGCGTCGCCAGGAACCTGGTGTACGTGTCGCGGAGCGTCATGACGCCGTATATACTAGCTATCTAGCTAATTGCTGTTGCGCGTATAGATACTGGGGCGAGTGTTGTAGCGGATCAAGTGGGGTGTGATGGTTTGTGGTGATACAAATGTTGTGTGTAAACAAATGCTGCCGGACGCGCGTAAGATTATGTAGCAAGGCGGTGGGGAAGGCGAAAGGGGAACCACAACATTGAGGGCAACAGGCTCCCATATGGCCCGCAAGAGCCCCCGGTCTTCAATCGCAAGGTGTTGTTTATGCAGGGGTCCCGCGACAAGCCCCACCTGGGTCAGCCACCTGGACGGTGCCGGACTGCGGAGATCAACGCGGAGAACAATGTCATGCAGCTAACGGCGTCGCGGTGGAGATCTGGTTTGTTGTCATATTCCATCTTCGTTTATTGACTCGCTGTTGAAACGATAAAATCGTGGACATCGGAAGTCTGCCCATGTTTGCTTCTCCGTATCGCCAATCACTGGCGTGTTTCAGATGGCTTCTTCATTTGCCGTCAAAACCTGGACGCCTACAATTTCTACTTACAGACACAGAACACAAAGTCACGGCTTATGTATACAGCAACCACATTCACTGACGACGGTCAGCAGTCCTTCGGCTCCCCTCGCTATCTCTGCCTGTAATCATGCCGTCATTGCTTGCTTTTCCCCTATGAATCATGAACTCTACATGTTTTTTCTCTGCGAGGTGAAAAGAGCAGGGACAAGCGAAATGTGAACTCGGTGAGCTGTGTAACGCGGCTAGAAGTCAGGTGGGGTATAATGACTCGTTGGAAAATCAAGTGCGGAACAACTGCAGTGTTGCTTGTAGCAGTGCTACTGAGGCAGCCGGAAGACGACTTGGAAATCGACAGCGAGAGTTGCCTCGATACACTCTACGAGCTCTTACAAAGCAGATTCAGAGCCACGTAGTCGTCTCGCAACCACGATGTATACCGTCAAGACCGCTGTACGTTCCGCGGTAGTTGGCTGCTGCTATACAAGGCCATCGAAACATGCCCCTCGACTGTTACTGTCATTCTGAAGCTGAATTCTTCCCGTCACGCTCAGATTACAGACTCTTCGATACTTTCCATTTTGGCCATAAGACGCAAATTCACCCGAATTTTGTTCATACTATCCTATGCAGCGGTCGGATACTATCTCCGAATGGGTGGAATATGACCTTCTGGACTTACTCTGCAAAGTGTCAACCACCTTCACTTGTTCATCGGTATTCAAGGGATCTGGCTATCACGAAAACCGAGAAGATTATATCATGTGAACTGTTTCTACTTGATGAATTCGAGACATATTGCATAGAGTAGCGACACAGTCTGAGCTTTGTGCAATTCACATCAGGTTGGATTAGTCTGCCTTCACTCCTGTTCAAAGGCTAAGCCTCACTACATAAAAATAATAGGCGACTTACCGAAACCCGGACCTTCCGCAGATTAGCACCGAAGAGATGCAAACAGACGCTCTACCACTGAGCCACACGCCCCAGAAGTCGCGGTCCAAGAAAGATGGCTTAGTAAGATTACTTGCTAACATAGTTCAGTGCAAGACAAAACAGTACCACTTCACCTCTCCTCTGTCTTCCGATAGAAGTGCACGACAAGGTCTTGAAGTACACAGTTTACAGGAAAAGGGATTTCACGTGTAGTGCGATTTGATGCGCCAAATAGGTATTAAGCTTCAGTTTCTGCCACATGGCCTACGGGAACGTGAAGAACCCAACCACTCAGAGCCTGTTAAGCTTCATTCCTGTAATGCGATGCCTGGTTGAACGCACTTTCAATCTCCCCTCACAGAGCAGATGTCGAGTCAAACTTGAATTTAGGTTCTACTATTGGTTGCTGCCTAGGTAGCAGAACACATATTAGTAAAAAAAAACCTTTCCAGTTTAGTAGAAAATAAGATTGGAAAACAACTTACATCCATACACAGTGTAAAGCTTCCCATACCAGTTGTACGACCCATAATGATTACCAAGGCCAGAGCCTTCAGGACGACACTAGTTCAGGATATTCTCGAATGCGTCCCAGCATCTCCGCTGATCGAATCCTCCAGGCCAAGTGAGTCTGCCTCCACCTTCAGCTTTGAGCGATCCATCATTCTTGTATAAAGCGTCACCGCAAACGTGTTGACGGGCAGCATAGAGCTGATAGCGGGATGAGGCGCGAGTGACACCACAGAGACCGTAGGCGCCGCAATCAGCGGCCGAGACCACAGCTCCAGAGAGCATTACGCCCAAGACGATGATAGAATTGAAGTGCATATCTGTGGTATTTGGGAGATTGAGGTGAGGAAGTGAAAGTCTTTGAATGGAGAGTGTCTTTTGTGACGAGGATAACTTTCAGTGGTTAAAAACCCGGAGGAATGTTCTGCTTGCCCTTGTTGTCGAACTCGACAGGGACAAACGTCTGATCCACAAGTTAGCATTGTGCATAGAGCTATGATGCATGGCACTGTAAAGAGAGTACTTACTCACTCCCCCACTGCTGTCTTCTTCTTCTTCTTCTCTTTCTCCTTCTCCTTCTTGTCTTTCTTGTCCTTCTTCTTCTTGGGCGGCTCGGCGCCCGCCGCCTCTTTCTTCGCAGGCCGCTTGGAGGGCACGGTGGCCTCAGCCTCAACGGGCTCGAGCGGCGGAATCTGGGGCCAGAGTGCGGCAAACTCGTCTACACTGCGTTAGCCTACATCTACATCTGGATGTCGTTTCTGGATGTATAGGTATCGGAGATAACAGATGATCAGGATTGATGTTTGAGTTTTCGTTCTGGTCAACTCTCATGGATGGAATTTACCTTCGTCTCCCGCTAGGGCCGAAAAGGCCATCTTCAAGAACATCGGCAGGCGTTGGATCTTGAGACCGGAATTACCCAAGATGTCTTCCAAATGATTGATGATAGCTTTGCCATCTGTACAATCGTCGACGACAGCCTTATTGCAGAAGCACTCCACCACGATAGACTTCAAGCCTGGAAGGAGTTGTAGGAAATCATACGAGAACTGATAGTCGCCAACTTGAATCCGCTGTATGGCGGCTTTCTGCTCGGGAAGTAGCATCATGAGCCATGCCGTAAGATAGGCTGTGTTGACCAACGTGAAGGTATTAACGGTGTAAGCAAGCAACCGAGTTTCTGCGTGTACTTGTCTGCAAACTCGACTCATGCCCTGTACAGGCCATTCTGTGGGGTACCGGCGGCTAACGAGGTGAACGCTAACTAATGTTTCTGCATGTACAGCGTAAGACCATATCAGGTTTCGTATTTCTGGGGGCAGGCGTAAAAGCGCCGACTCCTCTGCATTGCGCTGGGATCTGGTAGATTCTTAGTCATGCTCTAACATGATAAAATAATGGAATCGCACTCACATCCTGAGATAGTGCTGGTTCGGTGTCGACATGACGCGTAAGTAGTGCCTGGTCGAGCTTCTTTTCGTAGGATCAGAGAAGCGTTCTGGTAAAGTATGGAGGAATTGCTTATGGCGAATATGTGGCGTGAGATAGGTGGAAGAGCAGAGCAATCATCCGTTAAGTGAGAGAGAGAGAGAGGCAGTTGTTAGCGGGAGCACGGACGCTACAAGATGAGGGAAAAGCGACGAAGTCAGTAGGTGAAAGGGTATATTGGAGTGATACGAGACGCTCAACCGTGTGGAAAGACGGCTTGTCCAGTTTTTGGACATACTCACGCTGGATAGAAAAGAAATGTACTCATACAAGCATACTCATCAATGGGTGCGCATCACCTAGTCGTCCGAGCCATCCTCTGGGAGCTCCCTCAGTACATCCTCGACAATGTCAATCAGCTCGTCAACATCCGGCCGCTCATTGGGCTCCAGCCTCAAACACTTCCTCACCACCTCTTTCACACTATCTGTGATCGCATCCTCAGGGTTGGCCTTTTGCTTGCCCCTCTGCATACCCTCATCTGGGAACCTCCAGTCACCGCCCAAAACACATATGCTCAGACTACCACCCGTCTCGTCTGACCTAGCCTCGAAGGGGCTCTTGCCGACTAAGCATGCGTAAAGTGTGCAACCGAGCGACCAAATGTCGACTTTGGTGTCGATGACTGAGCCGGTCTTAACGTCAAAGAGTTCAGGGGCGCGGTATGGCATGGTCGAGTGTTCGGCGGCGGTATCTTGGATTTGTAGGGCAAGAGAGCGTGAGGTTACGGGTGTTGGTGATGGCGCGAGGGAGCCGAGATCCATCAGGATGGGTGTCTTGCCGTCGTCGTCTATCATTATGTTGCCTGCGCATGTTAGTCCCACAATACATCATCGTATGAGGTGTGCGAATTGCATACCAGGCTTGATGTCCCTATGCGCGTATGCCCTCTCTCCGCCAGGCGCAATGCCTTCATGCGCCGCTGTAACTTCCGACTCTTCTAGCAGTCCTTCTGCCTCTTGTTCGTCGTCTTCCTCATGATCGCGGTTTCTCCTGCTTGGGCGCATTTCCATGCTCTCTGCAGCTTCCGCATCTGCTCTCTTTGCATCTCTCCTGACTTTCTTGGCCTTGCCCTCACTTCGCGCGCCGCCAGGTCCACCTTTAATCTTGTACTGATGCATTGCCTTTAGCGCTTTGCAGACGCCTAAGAACAGCACCATGAGTCTCCGCTCAGGGAACTTTGTGTGATTGACCAGGTTCGCGTTGATCATATCTTGTAGATTACCTCGACGGTAGTATGGGAGAAGGATGTACACAGTCTTCGCAGACGAGTCTGATTTGTCGGTCTCAACAGAGTAGTCAATCGAGTGTATAATGTTCGGGTGCGGCGAGAATAGTGTGTAGGCCTCGACTTCTTTGAGCGCCAAGCTCACGCTTTCTTGTCCGAAGGGACATCGTATCTTCTTGAGCGCAAGGAGTTGTTGATTCGAGTTATCTTGTACGAGATATACATATGAGAAACCACCCTATATCGCGATAAGTCAATTGGTTGTGTGCTAACGAGAGATACCCAACTTACCTCGCCCAGCAACCGTAATATCTTGAAACTCCGACTGTTGATTTTGAGTTGAGGTGAGCTTGGGAAGCAGACCATGCAGTTTGTGAACGAGTACACGACGTCCAGGAAGTATGTGCCTAATGAACTCATCGTGGCGATTGTTATTACGATTGCGATGTGTTTGTTTGCGAGCTGACGACAGTTACGGGAGTCGATGCCGGATAAAGGTTAGACGCGCGGCCAATTCGAATCGTCGATTATGGTTATGAAATGGAGGTTACGTTGGGGCGATGATAGGGTAATCCGAACGGAACGATGGTGAAGACGTGTTGTTTGCTAAGACAAAGCACAGGTGTGTTCGAGGATGCTGACGACGTGGTTCGTCCGTGATGCGCCAAGGGTGTGGCTAAGGTCCCGTACCCACGTTACGGGCCGAAAGCCAAATGCCACACCACGTGAGATTTACGCCTGCAATATATATTAGCTAGATTGTCTTCATTCCATCTTAGTAAGCCATCTATCTCAGATGGCGACTTCTGGGGCGTGTGGCTCAGTGGTAGAGCGTCCGCTTTGCATCTCTTTCGGTGCTAATCTGCGGAAGGTCCGGGTTTCGATCACCCGCCCGTCCAATTCTTTTGCTAAGATCAGCTCCTCTATCAAGATGTGCTGTTGACGATTTTTTGTTCATGTCGCAGCATGTCAAGAACGAAGGAGTTACTACAAACTTCATCTTTGGTGTTTGTTGACTATGTTGTCTACATTTTTTCACCTAATCGACAGGCATATATATAAGCGTATGATTGACTTGAGACGAAAGATTGGCGCAAGCTATATAACATCTTAGTGGAGGTATTTCTCGACGATATGGACACAAACTTATACTTAGAAGAACTCAAAGATATAAACACAAGAGGCCAGATCCCTCGTAATTGTATCTCGACCCGCCGACAATCTATTCAACCTCATTATTTCTTACCCCAACAATGACATTGATCTTAACACGACACCGAACTCCACGGAAGCAATCATATCGCCCCCTAGAACAGGTATCTCAACTGCTACGCTAAATACAGAGGGTATTGTAGTTTTCTCATCATCACCTTCCCAAGTCGACATCGTCCCACTGCTCGCCTTGTCGTCTCCCCGCCAGAAACCCCTAGCAGCCATTTTACTATATTTCCCTCAGGGCCAAACATTCTGCGGCCTCTCGTCAAAAGCAAAATCAACCTTCTCATCCAACACCTCCAAGAAATTCTCTTCTGCACGATTGACATCGTACAACGACCTTGCAGTGTCCTCGCATTGATGATACCACATCCTCTCGAAATTGTACTCTTCTCCCTCCTTGTCGGGCATTATCGCCCACTCGGGTATCGCACACGTGTCCTGTTCGCCATCCATGTACCACCAGAACCTCATCATGTCGTCCCTTTTACTGCGCCAGTTGTCGCGGTTCCACTTCCTTCTCATGGGTGAGTGCTTGTCCCATCCACGTATAAGACTGCGGTAGTGCACAATGGGGTGGATGTATTCGTTTGTATCGCCCATATCACGAAGTTTGACCCACTTCTGTGCCTTCCTTCTAGCGTCGTATATCTCGACTTCTTCGTGGCCTGGCTTACGCGCACGTGCTCCAAGGAAGTGGTAGAAGCCGCCATACGAATCTACGAGAGGGCCCGTGCCCCAGCTAAAGTCGAAGTTGGTGTGTTCGTGTGGAGGGTCACGCCGCGGAGGTTTGAGTTCGTCGCATGTGAGGCTGAAGCTGGGTAGTTTCGGTAGCTTGTCCAAGAACTTCTCAAAAGAGCCCTCATGGTGGTAGGTACATGCGTAGCGGAGGCGGAAGAGCCAGCGCGTGTACTGAGCCATAAAGAGAGAGAAGGCATGTCGGTCAATGGTAAGATGAGGGGAGATGACTTGGAGCATCCAGCATAGAGTTGCTGTAGAGATATCTAAGTAAAGATTAGCATGTATATCTTACGGGTATAACACAATATCGCCTACTTTCGGAATCTCCTTTCATGTCGCCGAAAGCGTCTTGTGATCCGCCGCCGCAGTTGGTATGAACACCTGGAAACTAAGAGTGACATCGTTAGTGAGGTCTTCCTTACTGGAGTAAAGTTTTACATACCCAAACCTGTTTCAGCTCTGGCGTAGGTCGGTTTGGATCGTCAACGAGATCTGTGGGAATGTACCAGAGAGTCGGGCGGAAAGCCCTGCGACGCTCGTCCAAAGCCAATGCCTGATATGCATGCTCGATATCTATCGAACGGTTAGCAAGAAATGCATATTCCTTAATAGATGAGAACTCACTCTCCGTCAGCTTGACATTGTGGAATCCGTACTTCGTCCTTGCCCGTGCAAGGTCTAGACCGATCAGGTCTGGTACGCCCAATGAGCCAACAGTATCCCAGACACCCACCACCTTCACCTTTCTACTACCCTCACTGACTGCAAGCTCACCGTGCGGTCGAATCTCCCACACTTCAGTCATAAGTCGAAGATCATCCATGCCAGTGTTTCTGATATCGATACCAATCTTCTCCATCTCTTCTCCTTTTTTGCTGAGCTTGCCCTTGGTGAACCACTTCCACGCTTGTGTTTCTCTGAACTCGACGCCTTCCTCGTTTGTCTGGTAGAGACGGTACAGTTCAGGGAAGAACTGCATACTGGTTGGTGCAATGACACCGAGATCCGAGACCAATCCAGCAACCGCACGTGCTGTATAGGCACCTCTCGAGAACCCAAAGCAGAAGATCTCATCCCCCGGCTCGTAATTTTGCACGATAAAGTTGTATGCTTCGACGACATTTTCTGCCAAGCCAGCTCCCGTGCCACCCTGTCGTCGCGCTTCAGAGGCACTGAGATTTCCGGTTCCTATGCCGGAGTCGTAATAGACGATCTGATGGAATTTCTTCGAGGGATCGTCTTTGTCTGCGCCAACACGCGCGATCAGCCGGCAGAGTCTTGTGACATTGGAGGGTATGTTGTTTTTGCTGCTAACGCTGGACTGCCACGTACCATCGCAGCAGATCACAAGCCGTCGTCTCCAGGCTTTGTTGTCGTCCGAGAGGAAAGTTAGTTTGGCCATTGCGAAGAGCGAGAAGTCTACCGCTCTCTGTAGGGCGCGACGCAGATTATAAGAATGATGACTGTGTATAAAGAAATATGCTGAGACGCCGATCTAGTACCAAGACTGGAGTTTGGCGAACGCGAGGACGTTGTATGTGACACTCAGGGGTAAGCACAAGTACCAACAGATGAAGCTCACCGGAGATAAGCCACGATGCTGCATCCAGGCAATGAAGTAGCGCAGCTCTTCTGATTTAACCTCGCGAATCTCACATCGCGAATGAGCGGTGTTCCAACGCCCAGTTGGCCGCCTGAATCGCTAAAGCGCCTCATCGTCAAATCGCGACTGGCTGAAGGGGGCGCTGCCAAGTGACGTGTTTGATCGCGGCATGAAGCGCATCGCATCCGCACGCTTTGCATTGTCACCCGGGTCAGGCTGCGAACTACTTCAATGTGTCAGGCCTGGCGTGAGGGTGTCAAGTCGGGGCTGAAGGGGTTGCTTCTGTTCTTCGCGTCGGCCCGCTACCTGGACATGGGAATGTGGCGCGCATTAATCCGCGGAAAGGACACTACGCGCTGACCACCATTATCCACTCGCAATGACTTCATCTCTCCGAGCTGGACGACTGTGCTGGAAATAAATCTCAGGCGCATGCGTAGTTGGCTGCCGACCGAATCGATGCGGCTTTGATAGTCTCGAGGTGTTGCAGGCGGAGCTGATGGGCGTAGGGCACTACGATCAAGGCGTGTCAGCTGTTACTCGAACCCCGAATCAACATTCAGGCAGCGGCAGGCTCGACCACTATCCGATCTAAGATATTGCGCCGACGGTCACATCTCATTGTCAAGAATTGGATTTTTTGTTACACCAATGTGGGCTTGTACACCCACGTTTCACTCGGCACGTGCCGATTGTCGCAAAAGAAAGACCGAAGTTGCTTGCGCCGCCTTCGAGGCGGCGATATACCAAATGACTTGTCATTCGCGTCAATACCCTGTATCCAATAGGTGGTCTATACTATCATCCAACATCAAATCGTAACCAATAGTCGCTAAAGAGCAAATCCATAAAGTGTCCCAATCCCTGTGTCGCAATATGGCGCCATTTTGGCGCAACCTGAGAGCACCGTTATGGCAGCACCAGGCGTACCTATATAACGCCCACCATCCCACCATGAAAAAGAACGCTTAATCGCTGAACATCAGAAGACGCTGTCCTGAAACATGTACGACAAATCCACAAGCCGTCAAAGCTATGCTCCGATTCCTTCGAATCTACCGCTCACATTGAGCGAGGCGAATTGCCAGCTGTATGTGGCCGACTACCACCATACTGAGATCCGTCATTAAAGCCCTCGAAGCTCTCGCCCGAGGACATCCGTCTTAGATCGTTATCGTCACCCATATCGACATCCTCCATCTCGTACCTTCCTGCTCCATTCGGATTCTGTGGCGGTCCCATATTGGAGAAAGAGCTGTATTGTCGTGGAGGCGGCGCGGGCGGCACACCGGCGTTGCTGATTTGCTCTGCAAGACTGGGCTTCTCCGCCAAGTTGTTCAGCATGGCGCGACTCGCGTCCAGCATTGACACTGCATACTCAAGGAAGTCGGCTCGCTTCGAAGAAACCGAAAGCGTCCAGCGGTATTCGCACAGTCTGAGCTTGTAGAACTCAGCTTCCTCCTTGGCGGGTGCCGTAGCCCACAGTAGCGATCCAAAGGTACCAATAAGAGTAAAGTTGACTTTGGAAGCAAAGTACCAGAAGGCCTGTAAGTGCTCTGGCTTTAGTCTGTTGACAAAGTCCATAGCCGAGATCAGGCGCGTCTTCGCAGCGTTGCGGCACATGAAGAGACCGTATGAGTCAGGGTTAGTAGAGTCGAGCGACTGTACTATGCGCCTGTGGAGCGTGATCTCTGTTGCAAAGTATGCGAGATGGAGGTAACCCGTCGAGGTGAGCTTACCCTTTTCGGGGACACTCATCTTTACTTCCGCTGGTAGTTTCTCATGCCACTGACGGAGCTTAATCTGCACTGGTTTGGCGCGTGCGAGTATCAGCTCAGTTGACTTCTTCCCAGCGTTGGCGAAGTCGTGGATAGCCGTTTGGGTGTAAAATGTATCCATGACCTCAGCCATGATCTGCGTGAGCGCAATCATCTGAGCATACAGTATGCGGCCTCGGTGACTTTCCACCTGTTCATCTTCCGTCTCTTCTTGCCGTGTCTCGAAACCATCTCCTTCTTCAATAAAGTCGTCTTCCGTAATCGGCTTTACTGCCCAGTTGGCATTGAAAATGTGTGATGGTCGGCCATGGATCAGGGAGCTCCACTTGTCTTGCATGTATAATGCCCATGCTATGCGCTTCCTCAACCCACGCTCCCAAAGAGGAACCGACCATGATGAACAGTCAAGATGTAGGCCTAATTCTTGACCGATTGCCACCAGCTGAGTTGTTAAGCTCCAAGAGTCCGCTTCAGGACGCTGCAGCAACAACAAGCCAGCTTGTACAGTGGAAAGTTTCGGCCGCTCCATGGCCAATGCAAGCGCTTTCATGGCGATTGCTTCCAATCGGGCTGCATCAGGTCTAGAATAGTTGGCTAGCTTGGGGTTGAGTGACCACCAGTTAAGGGCTAGAATGTACATGCCAGCCAACAAAGCCGGTGAGAAGCCTCGGTCGCCATTGCGATATCGCTCGACGAACAAGTGCTTCTGGATGATGGGGTAATTTGGGTGTACTACTTGGAAGTACAGATCTAGCAAAGCTGGGCCATGTGGATGCACAAGCTGCTCAACCTGGCCTAAAGCCTCAGACTCGCCGGCGAAGTCTTGTGTGTTTTCGTCAGGTAGCATAATGAAACATTCATGATCGTTCACTCGTCGAAGTGTGCCAAGGTCAAAGGTCGACTCGTTATGGGTATCGAACTGTGACAAGCCAATAAGCAGGGAATCGAACGGAGAACTCAGACCGATGTATCTGCTATGCTGCCGTCGCTGCAATCCCAGTGTCTCTCCAAATTGAGGCAAGTGAAGACTTGCTATTTGGGACAGCGAGGGCTGTGGTGGTGGTGGACTTGGCGCAGTTGCTGTGATGGTGGGTGTTGATAGTGCTAGTGGTGGAGGATCTGAGTCGACGGATCTGCCATAGGATGTCAGCTACGACATCCGACAACATGCTGACGAACCGAAACATTGGGCGACGACGACAATTTCCAAATCCGTGACTAGACGTGGGACGGGAAAAGCAAGTACTGTCACACGTGCGCACGTGACCTGGTAGCGTGACGCAAAGGGCATAGCAGACGTCGGAAGTGATATATCTACGCGAGCCTGGAGGCGCAACGAAAAGCAGGGAGGTGGGGTGACCTAGACATACCTCTTCTTGGTGTTGTTTGGTGAGTCTTTCTTCTCACCGTCGACGACCTTCCTTTTCCGTGGCAGTGGGCTCTGTACAAAGGTACACTCTTGCTTGTGGAACTCGCACAAGACACACAGTGCAGCACCCTCGTGTATTACACAGCGACTCTTCCTCCGTCTGCACGCGTCACAGGGGCGTTCCCTCCGTGAGCGGATGTTAGATACTGGACCGTTGTTGGACGTGGGCTTGCCCAAGCTCTCCTTGCTGGATGGTGACTTCTGTATCGTGCGAGGACGAGCTGGTGCTATAGAGACAACAGGGCGTGGGCCCATAGCCGGCTGCTGCATTGCTACGGCCGTCATGGCTAGCTGGCGTGGTGGAATGGGTGCGATAAGGCTATGATAGACCACGGCCCGTTGGCTAGCTTCCGAATCAGGTTGCAAGTATCTGGCTATCGGAAGCAGGGTACGTGACAGGTCTTATCGCGTGGGAGATAGGTAGTTCAATCGGTTTATGAGAGATATCCCGGGCAAAGCAAATAAAGTTGAGTAATCCAGCGGAGATGATTCAAGAGAGGCCCAGATCAGGGTCCTAGATTGCCGGTAACGGCGGCGAGAAGTATGAGGTGACTGATGGTTCGCGCCGTCATTGAAGGTTCACGAAAGAAGTAGAGGATGGGCGCAGGCGGGCGGGAGAGGCGGGATAAGCCTGGGCTTGGAGCTTGGAGACCTAGAACCCTGTGTGGGGAGAGGGCAGGCGCATAATCGGGGTTGGCAGTCGTATATATTGGAGTGATTCTGGAGAGCGCGCTGCGAGTGTCTTTTGTGGCAGACATGTGCTCGGGATGGGTTTCAAGATGCACTGTGCACGGGCGTTGCTTGGAGGTAAGCTGGATGCGCTCTAGCGGCTTCCTGCATTCTATCTTACGTACAGCCGAGAGATAAGGGAGGCTCGACGGGCCAATGGCAGCACCGTGTGCCATCCCCCACCTGAATAATGTGATCTTTCAATTACTCCAGCTCTGCCTTATCTGTGCGTAGGTACTACACAAGATCCAGTTTAACTGTCTACGGGAATTACTCTTATGTACTCGTTACCATACTCTATAGTTTTAGTATTGGCACATGCACGTCACCCACGGCTACGCATCATTATCTCTCGCCTATCATGCGTAAACAGTGAACGACCGTTGGAGGGACCTTGCAGCTGACAGGTCCTGCCGCCAGAATTCTCGGCCTGTACAGCCACGACAGCACATGGCGAGACGTATTGCATTGCAAATTTTGCAACGCCTTCACCAGTCGCTTCATTGCAAGGCGGATCTCGCCCGATCTTGCCCAGTATCCATGGTTGTGGTATGAACGGCCTCCGCACGTGTCGCGTGTTCTCCACAAGCCCTACTTAGAATAGGACCCTCGATAGCGATCTCCGCTCCGCTATGCCCCTGGTCTCGTTTCTCACCGCTCGCCCTTCAGGCAAAACGCTTTCCGCTCCGACCACCGGCACTGCACACGACCCGAATATCTCCGCCAATCCTAGTCAGCGAGTTGCATCTTGCCGTTGCATTCTGCCATTGATGTCATAGCAGATTTCGCCGTTGTGACGCGATTCAGGGAGGCTGGTAAACAACCGCGGCGTTTCTAGGTGACGCCAAACCTACCAAGAACGCAGACGGCTGGAAAATCGGATGCGATCTACACCAGTGTACGTAAAACGAAGGCTTAGCCTCGTACTGCCAGCAACCTCAAACTTGGGTTGCGACTCTGCAGAATGACAGATGGGTCCCTAGTAGCACGCTCAGGATTTCCACATCCGACCTCGCTTAAACCACCATTTAATCTCTCAACAACGGAATGATATATCCTAGGTCCATGTCAAAGGGCCGTAAAGAAAGCCAGATCGCAATATTCCATTCAAGGTCCGCTCACTGTAAGTGGTCCAAACATCGGACAATGATATACCCGCTCGACCGCCTCAAGGGTTGGAAATTTCGTAGACCATGGGTTCGTGGTTGACATTACGAGATCGTTAAGCGCAGATCTGCTTGTGACAGACTAGATGGGTGGATTCTGCCCAGGCTGATGACACCTCAGGGAAAGTCGGGCCGCTTTTCTCCGGAGTGTGATTCAACCACTCCGCTTAGCTGTGATTGGCAACATTGGCAACACCCTACACATGCATCGCATCTCATACAACCGCCACATGGCATACCTACCATATATGCCCTATCTGCTTTCTTGTTTCTACACGGACAATACTTCGCAAAAGCCGCGCACCCGTTATCATATTCTACATTGCCTGCTACCTATCCCGCTACTAGGCTCAGTAAAGACGGTGTTGAAGCGCTAGTAAGAGTTGGAGAAAAGAAGTGGTGAATGTTAACTCGAGCACGCGACAAATGCAGATTCTTTTCAAAGTGCACTCGTAACTAAGAATGACGAAAATTTTCCTCCGCGGACTCCCCGGCCTCATCGTCGATAGGTTACATCATGCCATGAACATATGCCTCGCCAAATACAGAACTTCTTTTGTCACTCTTATTTCCGTATCGCGAGCGCTTGTCCAAACATCCTCTCAGGCTATAAAACATGGAGGTTATGAGCACGGATCCGACTTTTCCGCTTAGTTGGCCTCCGCTGACCACCTGTTAACTGTGAACGCTGCAGGTCCACCCGTAAAAGCTTCAGTACCAAACTGGTAGACTAATAAAGTCGTTAGCATAAGCACACCTAGCTCTATCGCCTAAAGCAACATTAGAAACTTACCGATGAGGTTTTGGCTCGACGCAGGATAGCCCTTGTTGCTGGTGAGCCAAGTAAAGAAGTTCTTGATATCACCACTGTAATTGGTGACAGGACTTGGAGCAACGAAGCTGTAAACTTTCATCGCCCCGTTGTATCCCTCCCAAAGTTCCCAGGAGCGGCCGTCGACGGTTTTCATGCCTTGCGAGGTACCGATGGGGTAAACGTTGCCCAATCTGGCGAGCCTGTTGACGAGGAGAAATTAATGATTGCACTGAGATTAGAGCGTCAATATAAGAGTAGCACTCACCAAACCATAAGCTCGTAATCCCCACTACTCCTATCATGGTTGATATCCGCAGCAGTGAACACATCGTACGCAACATTGGCGCGCACGTTTGTCGTATTGTAGCTCCACTGCGCTGTGCTCGGCATGGTGCTGTATTGCGATATCAACTTTTTGGTGGCCAAGCGGCCGGCGTAAACGTAAGATTTCACGTTGTTCTCGGCACCTTGCCACTGCCAGTTTGAGTGCCAGGCCATGCCGTTATTGAAGCCGTCGTAGTATGTGCATTGCGAGCCGGAGGTTGCGGCGTCGCGGCCCCAGAGGTTGTTGAGGAGCTCGTAGCCGTTGGTGGAGTAGTAAGCGTATAGGTCGCAGAGGGTTTGTTGCTGTGCGACAGTGACAGAGGCGAAGCCTGCCAGGACAATGGAGAAGGCTTTCATGATAGAGGTGTCTTATTTGATCTTTTATGTATACGCTCTTTTGATGCTCTGTTGATGCTCTGTCGATGCTTAGCTTTCCTGGGAGGATCTGATGGCTTTTGTATAGTCTGAATTTTCAAGACATCAATCAGTTCAGTGGATTGCCCTCATATCGCGTTCTCGGACAAAGTGCATCGTCTATTGGAGTTCGTATAATCTGAACTTTACAGTCTCCGAGCGCAAATCACCCCTACGCTCCGATCTTTTATGCTGGGTTCCGAGTGGTTTTGATATGCTGGCTCAATTCGCCAACAAAATGAGCCACCGGCTGTGCCCACATACTTCGACCGCGTGAGTTGAGCACGGCCCTCATCAATTACCGCCCTCATGTACCGATAGCCTGGAGTACTTAATGGATCCCTTAACCGGGGAATTGTGTGCGGGCAAGTAGGTCATCCTACGTATGGCATCATTTATTCGCAACGTCAATCATACTGTGCTCGACCGAGATCTGGGCGCACAATATCGAGGACATCAGATCCAGGAAACCCAAGAAGATCCATCAGCGACCTGATGCGATCGACGTTGTGTCCCTGGTATACCAGTATGTCGCACTCTTTTTCTCGAGAGACATGGAGCTGATCCGGAGCCGAGTGGTTTTTCTCTGGAGATAATGTAAAGGTCATCGCGGCTTTTTTTTGTGTCCTGGGGAGCTGCTTGTCATTCTGATGCTCCCATGCGGTGCGCATGATATCAGATCTGACATTTTGCTTTGACCGATGTCTGCAAACCGTAGGATATGGAAACGTTTATGTCCATGTTCTCCATTGAGTGGCAGTTTTGCGGGTTCGATTAAATGCGGCAATAGAAGAAATGTCGTATATGTAAAGTTATAAGATCTTGTAATGATTGTGAATCATAAGTTTAAGTTGTGAGGCTTTCGAGGTTCTGTGAAGCCAGACAGACACACACGCTCCCAGGTAGCTTACTAATCGATTGCCTGGCTCAGGCCGGCGGCCGAGGTTCTACGCCTCTTCGATACTACTCTGCATTTATTTCTTGAAATGGCGCACATTGCTTTTTCTTCATACCTCGATGTTTTCCTCATCGGGAGAAATGTCAACAAACACGAACAACGCAGGGACCAGGATTGACGTGTGGGACGCGCTAGATTCGGTCCGTATGACATACGTCAAGTTTGCGCTTAGATTCTGGAAGGCGTACTGGTGTCCAAAAGTCGTCTGAACAGGTTTAGGATTTTGACCAAGTGAAGGAGCTACGAATCTATCAAGAGATCTTATAGCAGCTAGCAACCGTTTACCTATTCCATGGTCTCTTGCCCAATTTCCAGTAACGCCCAGTACCTCCTTCTGCCTCGGCTGTATGTACAATTGTGGGCTTTCGGGTACCCTGTCATGATGGATTTGAGACACGCTTTCGCTCCGATCGTAACCCTACAAAACCAGCGCGTCAATCATACCACCGTTATCATATCATCGTTATATTTAACGCGCCTCGCTGGAAATGGACAAAAAAGGTATCGCGATAAGGCCGTCTCGTGTGCCGTGGTGGTCTGCGCAGCTGTTGCGCGTATTGTGGTCAACGTGTTGTAGACCTTGTGCTGCGCCGTGGTGCGATATCAGGATCAGTGCATAGGAGGCTGGTAGTTGATCGGTCGCCTGTCCAACGATTAGCCAGCAGCGCGCGATATTCGCATAGGAACAACCTACTTGAAGAGCAAGATGTGTGGTTCTGGCTCATGGACTTCGTAGTGCTCCCATCCCAGACTCTATTTCCAAATTAGCATGTCGTTGGTAGCCGGCGTTCTTTGACGCATACCTGTGTGATTCCCAGTGCCCGCCATTCCTCTTCCCATAGCAGCTTCAATGTGCCTCTAGCGCCGTCGAAGTAATCTTTTGGGATAGCTTTCAGCATTTGCTTGGGGAGCTGCACATGACGGTATTCGTATGCGTCGTCCGAGTATCTAAGTCCAGCGTTAGCAAAGAAAACGCGCTGACCGCTTCTTGCTTCGCCAACCCACCTTGCCGAGTAATGGATCGCGTCGATAAATTCATCCAGCTTCTCTTTCTCATGCTCAGATAGCGGGCGCGGCTTCTTGTTCCGGCGCGTGAAGTCAATATCCAATTCGGTCGACATGTTGGGTGGAGGGTGACGCGAAGGAGGAGCTCGTGTGCTCGTCCAGTGGGGGTTCGTCAGGTGGTAGAAGCGAGTGGGGCGGGCAGCTGCTTAGCCGGATGGGAAGTCGCAGTTGTGTATGTGTGAAGACGCGCGCCGAGGCAGAGTACCGTGTTTTGCCGCGCTAGGGGTATCTTTGTCGTGCAAGAGGAAGAATAGTTCAAGTAAATGAATCTAAACAGGCGTTGTTTACGAAGTTGTGAAATTTGGTCGATTGTCCAAGCTTCTACGCTAATTCGGCCGTAGCCTAGCGTAACCGTCCAACCACATTCTTACCGCACCTGGGCAACGTCTTTCACCCCTGCATCTGCATCTCCGCTGATCAGCGACGTGCAGTCGAGTTTACGATGCAAACATCCTTACGCCAGCTTACGTACGCCTAAAGATCTCGAGTACCCAGGCACTGCCGTTCCCTTTTTCCATCATCCTCGGGTAGCTCTTCAAACATCATGACGACTTCACCACCATCATCTGTCAAGCATTTTCTCGTCTGCTTGTACCGACTAATTGCGATTTGTTTAAAAAGCTTCATATTTCTGTCGAGAATCAACATCTTTCACGTTACATTCGCCTCTCCATCTGTCTAGCATCTACCACTAAAGCAACTACTAGCCCCTCAAAAACACAGATCAATGTTGTTTGCGCATAACTCGCTACCGACTTCCGCTGAACAAACGATCTCAATGAGCGTGTCATGTGCTTTCAAGTCGCACTATCCCGCTATTACCTGTCTTTTTGGCTTCCGTCGTCAATGTCATCTCTCCACCATTTTTACGTACTTTGGCCTTCTGTTTGAATAGTCTCTTCTTCGTCGTGTACGAAACTCGTATGGTTATCACGCAACGAATGATTGCATAAGAGGTAGAGTTTCACTGGTCAGTTGCGCAACAACCCCACATATGTTGGCGATAACTTCATGTCTGCAAGCCTCTCCTAGGTGTCGCTATGAGCAGATGGATATTTATGTCCATCCGAAGTGGCCCTAACACCATTATCTCTAAACGCCGCTTTCAAGATACCCAACAAATCGCTCAAACTGCCCGATACTCTGTACACACCATACCATCTTTGTCCGTCCTCTCGACGACCTTAGAATGTCCACTGCCATCGTCCAGCTTTCCCTCACGCCGATCCCATCTTAGTTGTTTCTTTGGTTTGATCACCATCGCCTGCGTCATCTCGGGTTTTTTCTGTCCCAGGTCCCCATGAACCACGTCAATACCGTTGTCAGCAACTCCTCGCTCTAGCCACTCGTTCGCTTTGTCGTCGCTCGAGCTTGTTTTAATCTCTGGAAGGAGCTCGATCGACGGTGATGGCGGTGCGGACGAGTAGCGTTGCTGCAGGCCTTGATAGTGCTCTTGTTGTGTCTGCTGGCGAGACAGGCGATGCGAAAGGCGAGACTCTCGGCCGGATTCAGGACTGAGTAGGGCAGGCTTAGAATCGGCGTTTTGACAGGCTTTGTTTCTACTTCGATTGGCAGCAAGACGAATGGTGAAGTACATTAATATCGAAATGAGGATCGTGGAGGTCAGGACAATAAGAGCGAGGAAAAGGTTTTGTATGAGGCTCAATTCAGACATATTCCTCAACCCGAACTTTTCGGTTACTGTCAGATCTGTGGAAGGCCGAAACAGAGGGATTGACAGGTATTGTGGCGCCTGCTGCAAGAGCTATACTGCAGTACTTAAGCCTGTCAGCTACTGCATGAGTGAGTTTCCAAGACCGAACGTAACTATGCAGTGGACTCCTTCTAGGTAGTTACCCGAACCATTTACTTTCTGGGCCGACACTTGCATGCCAATGTACAAGAATCCGGTTAAACTGCCCTGTGGTCGTGTTGAGTCGCGCAAAGTGCCACACAATACGGGAAGGAAGAACTGCACTACTATGCATTGACTTGAGGGATATCAAAGCCAGTCCTGAGATCCAAATATGGTCATGACATGCACAGGTCAATCTTTGTGATATTCACGAGCAATTTGCTGATTGTTACAGCACATATGTACAACACCATCGCCTAAGTCCCTACTCGGACTCCAACGCGCCAATGTAGTCATACACAAGCCTAACCCGAACAACCTCATCCTTATTCTTCTTCCTGACCACGAACTTCCTCGTCAACTTCCTCTCACCACCAATATCTGCAAACCCCCAGATTTGCCACGCAGTCCAAGCATTTCCCTCATTATCCACGTAGCTCTCAACGATGTCTCCGTCTTCCGTTTCCTTTAGCCACCCTTCAGCCAAAAACTTGATGTCTTCCTCCTTTGCACCTCCACTTTTTCCTTCTTCCACTGTCTTGGCCATGGTCGAGTAGCGAGATCGTCCCTTGACGGTGCCGAAGAGCCAGTCAGTGTGCTCGCGGTAGTGCCAGTCCAACGTGCGGTTCTCGACGGAGCCCTTGAGACCGCCGGTGATGAGTTGATCGATCTTTATGTGCGTAGTCGGGGTGTTGTCCTCGCCTGTTGTGGGAGATTGGTAAAGGTGTTGGGTTATTGTTGCAGCGCCGAGGGCTTTTCGTGTCAACCAGCCGATGCCTTGTAAAGAGAGAACAGGATCGAAAGCATCGGAAAGGGATTTGTTCTGGGATACATTAGGGTTGTTCTGTAAGCCAGCGATGCTTAGGATGAAGACGAAGCTTTGCAGAGAACAAAGTGACCTGAAAGTTGTACAAAACCTACCATGACCCATTTTCCTTGGAGATTCTTGATATCAGCACTTGATGGAGCTGCCATGTTGCCGTTTCCTATCGTTGCTTAACACTGATGTGGTATGGAACGACTGTGTCGTATGAAGAGCTGCGGGGCTGTGGTTATTGGTAGTGGATACCAGCCTGTCTTGGACGGCCATATGCAGGACATCTTATATGCCAATCGCCAAAACACCAAGCCTATTCAAAGACGCCGTGTGTGCTAGCACCTGCCTTAGTTGACAATCGCATACTGTCACGTTCGTGCCTGATCGAAGATACAATGTGGCGTCATGGCAGGGATGCCGAGGTCGTCTCCTTTAGGGTAGCGGGGAACCCTGGCCCTCTGTCTCATGCGCGTTCGCAGCGTTCGCAGCTCCAATCCTGAACTACATCCACGGCCATTTTGGGCTTCACGGCACAACCCCGGATCGACCGGACAAGCTTCATGTGAAGATTGTTCGGACATAATACCGCAAGACGTGCGTCCCCCGATTGCGACGGGATAATACGAGTATTGAAGAGAGCGTAACCTCTCAACCCAGGAGCTGGCATGTGATCAACGACCTTCCAGCTCACTTGTCCCATGTTCCTTATAATCTTATCGATATTCCCTCTCTCATTTGCTCTGTTCTCGCGTTCCATAGAGGCGAGTTTAAACCAAGTCTAGCGACGAACACAGGCATGTTGGGATCGACAAGCTAAGAATATTCCGATGCGACACATGATTCCACTGTCGATGGACTACTCCTACTACGGTTATCTCGATGATCCGAAAAGTCTTCTATGGTTGTACGCATGGCGCTTGTCAAGGCGATGATTTGCCCCAACGTCTCAGCTTCACCAACTGAAAAACACTACCCCAAATACACCGCAAGCACTGTTTTGAGCAAGTTCTCTATTGGCAAACCTTACCATCTCGGCATTTGTCAGGCGCCCCGGGTTTCGGTTCGTTACATGTTCCGAAACGTCTGCCATGTTTCAACAACCGCAAGCATGGTGTGACTTAGCGCACAAGGGGAGAACTTCAACATAGGCGAATATCGTTAGCAACTTCGCATCTGAAGTAAGGCTGCGACACGGATTGTGTTCGATGCCTCAGATATGACTTGTTTGGACTGCCGGCCGGTCGGTAATTTCCCCTCATCTTGAATCTGGTTCGTGATTTCTTTTGTTTCCAAGGTTACCATTGATTTCGTCCCTAGCTTCAACTCTTCCTCTTTTGCGGGCGCTGGTATTCGCATTCTGTGTTTTCATCTCATAAAACCGAAGTCTTTTCTAGAGCGCAGAGTCACGGGCTGCAGCATTGTGGCACACAGTCTCATCAAACTTTCCGTCACTTCTCATTCATTGGACGCGCATACGGCTTCGCGCAGCACCATCGTCACAATTCCCAATTTCAGACGGTTACAAGCACAGTGAAAGTACCATCCGCACGTTGCAATCAGTCTTGCGATCCCAACATTTCGCCAGCAAAGCATCACTACTCTCAACCTACTGTTACGGCGGCTCCAAAGATCGGCCTAGACATATCTTCGGGTACATATAACGACTTGAACGATCGACTTCAACAGTAATTTCTTTTCGCAAACGGTCAACAGAACTGAGGGGCCGAGCACTGTCTCCGCACTCAACGTCGGATAGCGCAACAGTCATCGCATATATCGCAGTCGCTCTCACTCGTTTGTTTGTCAACAACAACCCACTATATTCAAAACCACTCCCACCTCATCGGTCTTTCCCTCTACTCACAACCCACACTCGTTACTCCTCAAGGAATTACCCGACATCCTTCTGATCGTCACTCCCCAGCCCATCCAATAATTGCCGCATCTACTACGCGCCTCCAGCCAACCGCAACAATGAAGTCTTTCCTCATTCTTACAGCCTTCACCTCCAGCGCCCTCGCCTCTGCGATCCAACTTCCCAACCACCTTATGGACCGCGATATCGATCCAGCGACTATGAATCCAACACTGTTCTCCGTACTATCAGTGCTGAAAACTGGTATGCCCACGGGCCCCAACGTCCCCATGCCAACTGGCAATTCAGAGCCAGATTGGTACCAGAGGCTGCCGGAAGATGTTAAAAGCCTGTTACCGTCGTTCTATCCTGTTGCGCCTACTGCTCAGGCTGTGGTTGCGGCTGCAACGAGTGAGGTGCAAGCGAGTCAGGTTGTGAGCCAGGTGGTGTCGTCGGTGCTTCAAAGTAGTGTTGCAGTGTCGAGTATTGAGAGTACAGTGGTGAGTGCTTCTTCATCTGCCTCATCATCTGCTCTATCGTCATCTGCGTCTGCGGCTTCGTCTTCTTTGTCTTCCACCATCGAGTCTCTGTCTTCTACTGTCGACGCCCTGTCTTCCACGACATTGACATCGCAGAACACATTTACTAAGACGTCGCAGTCCGCGTCCATGGCCACCAACACACAATCACCTTCATCTTCCGCACAGTCTTCAGAAAGCGCATCACAAACACCGTCTTCTACGGTCCTGGCTAGTGCTTCAGCCACGCCATCGAGTTCCCTTTCTACTGGCGCTAGATCCGTAGCCAAGACAGAGGCACTAGCTATAATCGCTTTCTTCAGTGTTGGGGCTGGGTTCTGTATCTTCGCATAGTCTGGTACGATGCTCTGGCATTGCGTAACGTGGCACCTGTGAGCTACGCTGGTTTCGCTGCCATCTTTTCGTTTCTCTGAGGTATCTTGTAGAGTTGTGTTTAGGGAGAAAGTGGGAGAAGATCTGATTTGGGCGTCTTGGATGCCGCATGATGAAATGTCGTTAATGCAACGAGTATAGCTCACTAGGCGCTGAGTGGGCGCACAACGTATGCTTTTGCATCCTTTTTGTATATTATTTTTCAAGATATCCCCATGCGATACAAAATCAATACAGCTTTTTGTTAACTTTGCAAACGTTGAAGATACCACTACGGCTTCTTTAGGTTATTTCAAATGCGACAACGTTCCGCAAAGATAGCCAATATTATACCATTTATTCTGAGCTTGTTGCATATTTCCACGAACAGCCTATCATATCGGTGTCGAGTACAAGTCAGAGAGGACCAACTTCTTCAAATGCAGCAATTATGACATGATTGGTGGCACTGACATGGTCTGTGCGGAAACGTGAGTTCGCGGGTTCGCGTCGACGCGTCGCACTTTAGCAGCTGTTCAACACGACGACATCGTCACATCATCCTCAACCCAACCCCAACAATGGCCGACTTCTTCAACATAAAAGCGCGGCAAGCCAATGCTGCCAAGGCTAGCTCATCGAAAGCGCCCACAACGAAGCAAGAGCCCAACCGCATGCAGCCATGGGTCGAGAAATAGTGAGGATACAGTCTCTGAACACAGCACGCAGTAGCAACGCTGACAGGTTTACAGCCGCCCCAAAACTCTCTCCGAAGTCACAGCCCAAGATAATACCATCCAAATCCTGTCCCGCACAATGCAATCCTCCAACCTCCCACACATGCTCTTCTACGGGCCCCCAGGAACCGGGAAAACCTCCACCATCCTCGCCCTCGCCAAAGAACTCTACGGCCCTGAACTCATGAAATCACGTGTCCTCGAACTAAACGCCTCGGACGAACGTGGCATCAGCATCGTGCGGCAGAAAGTGAAAGATTTCGCGAGACAGCAGTTGAGTGTTGCGCCGAACCACACCGTCATGGTCGAGGATAAAGACGGGAGCGAGGGGGGCAAAACGGTGCGGTATAGAGACAAATATCCCTGTCCGCCGTTCAAAATCATCGTGTTGGATGAGGCGGATAGTATGACGCAAGATGCGCAGTCTGCGCTGCGTAGGACCATGGAAACATACTCACGTATGACGCGCTTCTGCCTTGTGTGTAACTATGTAACTCGCATCATCGACCCCCTCGCGTCCCGTTGTTCCAAATTCCGCTTCAAGAGCTTAGACCAAGGAAACGCTGTGAAGCGTGTAGGCGACATTGCGAGACTCGAGAAGGTGGAGTTGGAAGACGGTGTTGCAGAAGAGTTAGTGCGCGTCGCAGATGGGGATTTGAGAAAGGCAATCACATTCTTGCAGTCTGCGGCTAGACTTGTTGGCGCTGTTATTGCAGCAAACGGCCATAATGCTGGGGCGGGCGGAGGAAAGAAGAAGAAGGAGAAGGAGAAGAAGGTCGTCGCAGACGAAGATGAAATGGACATTGATGGAGCAACACTAGTACCCCCACCAGCAGTCTCCCTTCCCATCATCGCTGAGATTGCGGGTGTATTACCTCCCGACACACTATCCTCCTTCAGCAACAGCCTTTTCCCCAGGTCTTCAGCAAACAAGGTCGTGCGGTATGCGGAGATTGCCAAAGTCGTGGAGAACATGATTGCGGAGGGGTGGAGCGCGAGTCAGACCGTGGGCCAACTGTACGAACAGATCATGTTTGATGAAAGAGTCGAGGACGTGAAGAAGGTTAGACTCGCCGGCGTGTTTAGTGAGACGGATAAGAGGCTTGTGGATGGTGGGGATGAACATCTTGCTGTGCTGGACTTGGGGGTTAGGGTTGCTGGGGTGCTTTGTCTTTGAGGATAGAGCTGATACGGTGAACTAGTGTCACGAGAACATTTAGTAAATGATGAGACGAAGTGCAAGGAGGACTAGATCTGCGTAACCGTTGGTGCAAATGAAATGGAGGTGGTGATGCAGAGGTTGTCATCTTGCTCTCGAAGCAGTACCACATGTCATGATGCAGTTATTGTTATTCTCTGGTGACTTGAATGGGACTGGTGGAGCTCCGCCCTTTCTGACGGCGCGCTGTACGACCGGTGTCATTGTGAACTTGAGAAGAGAGAGAGAGAGAGAGGGAGAGGGAGAGAGGGAGACAGGTCTATTCGCAAGAATGCCCCGAATGTAATTGCATCGCTCAATACAGTCTAAATACTCATAGTGCCGCTCAACGTGATCACGTATTCCAAATAGACGCCACCCAGTACAATGGTATCTAACGCTCAGCAAACGCCGTTGACGCCGGGGATAATGCACGCTTCCCTCCCAATTTCCCTGCCTACGGTCCACCTTTCGGACGCTGTTTCAGTTCGGTAAAATTGAACGGCACGGCTCGCATACCGACATAACGTTCTTGTTTAGGATCATATATGGCATAAACGTTTAGCGTTAGCTTTGCTCGTTCGCCATAAATCTCAATGAGACCAAGCACCCAGAAGCCACCACGTGGAATGACCATCGGTGTGGTTGCGGTATTCGAGGCCTTGCGCACGTCGGTGCGGAATTGTGTCAGGTCAAGCATGAGTTTTTTGGGATCGGGAAGGAGGATACCATTGAGGTCCTTGGCCGGACCGTCAACGGGGGCTGCTGATGACGGTGTGGTGCCTGGTTGTTGAGTGTCTTTCGCGGATGTCGAAAAGGGCTCTGGGTTTATGCTCGTCGTTTTGTTCAGAGTTGACTGTGGGTTCGCAGATATGCGCTTGACGAGCTGCTGGACAGCTTCTGTTTGCGATTCTTGCGACCACCCCATGTAGATTTTAAAGTCTTTCCATGCCCTGCCGGCTTTCTTCGTTGTGTCTTGGTAGAGCGCTTTCGCTGCTTCTTTAGGATACAATACTCTTTCCAAGCGAAGATGATGCGAGGGTTCGACCGGCCGGGTTGCCCTTCGCCACTCCAGGTCCTCGGTCAGTTCGATACCAGGGCGCTCGTACTCGTCCGGCCTCGTATCGGGGAACCTGAATTCAACCCACGTTTTCCCTTTGTGTAAGTCGATTTTGCCGGCTTTGGCGACAAATGGGGGGCTCTGGGCGAAGGTCTGGCGTGTGATAAGAACTAGTTCTCCTATTGAATAGTCAGTATGCGTCCACTGTGTTCGCATCAGACATATCTCACTTCGTATCTTGTCAACCCTTGGGCGGTCCGTTGCGATCTTCTTGAACTCTTGCCACTCGGGGTCTGAACCTTTCCAAAATTGCTTCGGTCGTGGTCTTGAGAGTCCGGTTGGTAGGAATAGTAAAGCGTCGTCATACTCCTCATCCTCGTCCTCGTCGTCTTCAGGCCCGACTGTTGTCCACCCATCTTGCCCAGACCTGGAAGCCCTTCCCCCCTCTTTCACCTCTTCCACTTCAACTGTTATGCCGACATATTGTCCGAGGCCGTACGTGGCCACTCCGATGGCGATAGCACCGACTAGACGTCTGTTCTCGAGTCAGCATAGGTAAACTGCAAGGGATGTGTGAAGCGACTCACGATTTGCTAAGGAATGGTCGCCGTATACGCACTCGCTGTATTATGGCACTCCCATGACCATCGCGTGCCGCTTGTCGAATTATGCGCGAATGCGATAACCGACTAGAGAGGGAGAAGTTGCGCCGCAAGACCAGTGGCGTGAACATTGGCGTGATGCAGGCGAGGAGCGAATGTTATGAGGAGCTCGAAGCTAGGTGGAGAGACATTTAAATCGGGGTTTTAAAAAAAAAACACAAAGAATACGCGTGAAGTGTGTTTGAAGAACGAAGTGAATGCTGTTGGCCGGCGCCCCACGAGTTGTATAGTTGCGGGCGGAGGTGAGGCGGGTTCGACGCTAGTGCCGTCTAGGTCGCAGCGCAGCTCAGGATGGCGATGATGCAGATGCATCATCGCCGAACTACCTCAACTCCATCCCTACCGCCACCATGAAGCTATCCGGCGCCTTTGTCGCCTCATCGCTGTACTGCGCAGTCCTTGCAGCTCGACCCACCGTCAGCCCCGAGACAGCGCGTCTTATCATCGCCCAGCGCCTGGGTCTATCGCGATTCCACTCTGTTGAGCACGCAGACGCCGAGACGATCAGACACATCAACACGTACGGAGGAAGGCAACAGAAGCTGTTCGGCGGAGACGATGCAGAGCAGACCAAGGCGCACCTGCTGGTCTGGGCAGAGGACGCTGAGCAGGACGAGGCAACAGGTGGGCATACGTGACGGAGGCATAGCAAAGGTTACCCACTAACTAAGCTGTCAGTCATCATCAACGACGGATCAGACCGCACCCAAGACTTTACCATATCAAGTGCGCCATCTGCGTCGGACAATAACCGCCTGATCCTCGACTTTATCGCACAAGCCGAGTCGCTGCCAGCATACCCAGACCCCCAGCAGCGCACCTACACGTCCAACTTTGAGATCGATTCCGTGCTCCCACCAAACTACAAGTCCGAGCCGCACAATGGCTACCTCAACATCTGGCGCACCGACAAGAGCAGCAACATGACGCCTGAGGAGCTCGCCCAGGTGCTCAGCAAGACCATCACCAAGGCCGCGGAGACGGGTTTCTCCACTACCTTCGTCATGATGCCGCGTTCAGCTTCAAAGGCCAAGCGCGCTGCCCACCCCTGGGGCATGTACGACATCCCGTCCAAGGAAGCCCGCCGCCAGAACCCCGAGGCAGTCCTCTCCTCGCAGCCCGTACCAGCCGTCTCCAAGGTCCCTGACCTTGAGGACTTCCCCGTCGTTATCCAGGCCGAGAACAACAAGGGACCTGTCCGCGGCATTCTCCCTACTTGCTTCAAGTCCATGTCGGCGTGCCAGACCCAGACCCACAACTGCTCCAGCCACGGCGAGTGCAAGCTTCTCCACAAGGGTCGGGGTTCCGGTTCCGACCAGGAGACTGTTGATTGCTTTGGATGCGCCTGCTCGGCTACGGTCGAGTACGAGGACGGCAAAGGTATGGAGGAGAAGAGGAAGGTTACCTACTGGGGTGGCCCCGCTTGCCAGAAGAAGGACATCTCGGTTCAGTTCTGGTTGTTTGTCGGCAGCGGTGTCGTTCTGGCTTTCTTGGTATCTGCTGGTATTGGTATGCTCTACACCATGGGTGCTGAAGAGCTGCCCAGTGTCATTGGCGCTGGCGTCAGCGGTCCCACCAAGAAGTAGGAGGTTGGAGAATAGTACAAAGTGGACGAGGAAAGCAGGAGGCGGAAGAGTGGGTATTGTATATCTGGTGTACGACAGACAGTATTTGATGGTTAGCTGTGTGGGAACTTGTACTCTATGGGATAATGGCGTTTATAGCACTACATTTTAGCATCTGAACAAGTTGACACAAACATCTAATTGATTCGGCCGCCCGTTGCAAATCTGCACTAACTCGACTAAACATGGTATAAAAGCATATCTGATGCGCTCACGCAGCAACTAAAGTGCAGCTGTCCAGGACGCCGTCAAATGCTGCAAAACGCCGATACCCTAGACAACTTCAACCACCCCCCGTTCGACCCCTGAAGTAGAAGTATGCATCATCTCAACGAGGCAACACTCATGCCTTGGCCTTCTCTACCATTACACCGTCTTCGCTCTTGGCCTTTTCCTCGTCCAGCTCCTTCATGAATTCAGTCTGGATGTCGGTCCTACGCTTCTCCCACCACTCCTTTTCCGCTGGCGCCTTCGCCGTGATCTCGGCTAGGCGCTCGCGGATGTGGTTGTTCTGTGCCATTTCAGAGGCGGATTGGAAGATGGTCTGACCCCAATTTGGTGCGAAAGCGTTGGCCTGTCTCGACGTTAGCCACACTCGTAGATCTACAAAAGCCGTCTGGCTTCAATCCAGACATGATCAACTTACCTCGCTAACAACGTCCCTAAGTTCTTCCTCGATCTCCTTCTCTGCCCTCTGGAATCGCTGCCACAGATCATCGCCCACACTACCCCTCTGCAGCAACACTTGTAGCGCCTGCTTCGCGTTCCTGACCTGTACGATTCGGTGAATGTCTTCGGTCGCGCGGCGCAGTAGTGCAGCTTTCAGTACGCTGTCTGGCACCTTGGGATCGTCCATGTGGAGGAGAGAGAGGTAGACATTGCGCTGGAGATGTGTGGGGAACCAGGGCTCGAGGGATGCGGCATTGGCGGCTTGACGCTTGCGGTAGAGGTTTGTGAAGACGGCAAAGGAACCAGCGAGGATACCAATGTAGGCGAAGGGCACGGTGAGCATCACCCAGTCGACCATGTCGAATGGCCACATGGTGAATGTAATGTGCGGGTTGCCTGTGTGGTGGAAGAAGGGGATTCGACGGGCTCGCGATCCGGTGCAGGCGCAAATACCAGAGTTGTAAAGGAGCGACGGTGTCCTCAGAGGGGAGATACGGTGGGAAGGTGAAGACCAGTGGGTGGGTGAATTACGCCGGGCTTTGTCTCACTATCGATATGTTGGAATATCTGTCCAGTTCCGCGCTCGACTAGCGCCCCTCCTAGCGCGTCTGCGTCATCCATGTCCGCCTTCGAATGTCTAAGCAGATGCATGCATCAATCACAAACACCCTCAACCGCAGTTCACCATTCCTCGCTTGTCTTCTCTGGTCGCGTTTTCCTACAACGCCTCTCGTCTACGTCCTAATACTCGCAACATTTTCCCAACAATCCACCACAACTCAACCCAACCCAAGATTGACAGCGTTGGTTGCAGTCATGATATTGAGGTTCGTTAGCAAAGACGGCCAGTTCAGGTTGACGGTACAGCCCGAGGATACCTTTTCCGCCATCCTGCCCCAGGTCGCCGAAAAGCTACCAAAGAATGTCGATATCCAGAGCATCAGCGTTAGCAACCGTCCGCAAGGAGGCGACGCGAGGAAGCTGGCTGAACTCAAGGGCGTGAGTTTCAAGCAAGTGGGACTATCAAATGGCGCGCAACTGTTTCTGTCCTTCGAAGAGCAGTCTGCAGAACCAAACGGCCATGCTGCAGCACCAACTGGCGGCTCACGGCTGAATGGCAAACCCGTCGAAGCCACCGACATGGCCTCTGTACCCCTCGGCTCTCCTACACAAATTATAAAGAACCCATGGGAGGTTGTCAGGCAGTCACCACTCGACGACAGGCTAGACAGGCAAGACGGCAAGATCCCTAGGAAACGCGACGCTCGCATGTGCTCCCACGGACCGAAGGGCATGTGCGATTACTGCATGCCTCTAGAGCCCTACTCGCCCGCATATCTCGCCGAGAAGAAGATCAAGCATCTTTCCTTCCATTCATACCTCCGCAAAGTCAACTCGGCGAAGAACAGGCCAGAGCTTGGTAGCTCGTACATGCCTCCGCTGACCGAACCCTACTACCGCGTACGCCCCGACTGTCCATCGGGACACAAGCCATTCCCCGAAGGTATCTGCACCAAGTGCATGCCCAGCGCCATCTCCCTGAAGCCGCAAGAATACCGCATGGTAGACCACGTCGAGTTCGCCTCGATACAGGTTGTTGATGATGTGATCAACTTCTGGAGGCAGACTGGCTGTCAGCGACTAGGTTTCTTGTACGGCAGGTACGAGGAGTATACCGAGGTGCCGCTGGGAACAAAGGCTGTCGTCGAGACCATCTACGAACCACCGCAAGTCAATGAGGCAGACGGTATTTCGCTGGGTGATTGGGATAACGAAAAGGAGATTGATGACATCGCCGCACAGTGTGGGCTGCAACGCGTTGGCGTCATCTTTACCGATCTGCTCGACGCCGACAAGGGTGACGGCTCTGTCGTTTGCAAGCGACACGCCGACTCATACTACCTTTCCTCTCTTGAAGTCACATTTGCGGCACGATATCAGGCAAAGTACCCTCGGCCATCCAAGTGGAGCGACACCGGACGACATGGGTCCAACTTTGTTACCTGCGTGATCAGCGGCGACGACCAAGGTCAGATTGGCATTTCGTCATACCAGGTATCCAATGATGCCGTCGAGATGGTTCGCGCAGACATCATCGAGCCTTCGGCAGAGCCATCAGTCATGCTTGTTCAATCCGAAGAGGAAAACGAAGCTTTGAACAAGGCGCGGTACATCCCCGAAGTTTTCTACCGAAAGATCAACGAACATGGTGCGAATGTACAGGAGATTGCTAGACCTGACTTCCCTGTGGAGTATCTCCTCCTCACACTAACACATGGTTTCCCTACTCAGCCAAATCCTCTCTTCACCGGCGGCAAGTTTCCTATTGAAAATCGTGAAGCCATGGGCGAGATGCCAGAGATTACACACCTCAGCAAAGCGCTCAACGCTAGAGCCAACGGACTGGCGCTCAATACGAACAGCGGCCTCAACGCCATCTCAAATTTCCATATGCTGTGCTTCATCCACAATCTCGGCATTCTATCAAAGGTGCGTCAAGGCAAAGCTGCTTGTGTACTTTACTAACTGTGTGATCCAGGACGAAGAGGCACTGCTCTTCAAAGTCGCTTCGACACACGACACATCAGAAGGCTCAGCACTCCAACATACGGGTGGCTGGGCAACTCTTCTGACCATTCTCAAAGAAAGTGGTGAGCGCCCCCCGAAACGTTCCTATGCTCCTTCGCAGCCCCAGCTGCGGCAGCAGCCGTCCTATGGCTCAGACTCCGATTCTGCTGTACAGTTGGCTAAGAGGGTAAAGGGGGTTAAGCTTGGGAAGTAGATTAGTTGGTCATGACTATTCGATCTCCCGGGGTGGCGCCTCTAATACTATAGGTCTGTGATTCGTATGCGACGATGGGTAGGCGTTGGTAGTGCAGGCCGATGGCGTTGAGGGGTGGGGTGAGACATGGGCGGGGGGTGCATGCATGGTCTGGCGTCGGGAGCAGATTAGAGCTTCTGGTATTCGTTCTTAGGAACAATTCAATGTGCGATGTATTCCTTGAGCAATGGTGCTGACACGTTGATGCTGTGGTACAGGTTAGACATATCGCATGTCTCCAATGCGACGCCTTGTATTTCATGCTACAGGATATTTTACAAGAACATACACTCGCACATGCTTTCCTTGTCCATGGTAATCTACTTTCCTTCGTACTGAGCGCTGTTCTTGTCGTATGCTATTTACGTATTCATCTTGTCTTGCTAGCTTCCATCTATATGATTTCTTTTTTGCTTCTCTTCCTTTCTCCTCGTACCCTATGTCGAGGTACGACTAGGACCAGATCGATCATTCCCATGTGGCTCGCTCCTGCCCGAGTGAGGCAGAGCTTGTCATTGTCATTGGTGGCATGTGCCAAGTCCATGCCGGGGCTCTGGGAAGCGAACGTGTGGCGTGGTAGGGGGCAGAAGTCAGGCCAACCTCACGGCCCCATCCTCTTATTACTTATTCTCCGCCTGAAGAAGCTGGTCTTCTTAGCCCACCTCTTGGCAATCGCTACGCCCTCGTACTTAGGCTAATGACCGTGATTTAATGGCGCGCTTGCGAGATCCCTCGACTGCATAAACCTCTACGACCAAAAGCCCTCTGAGACAATGTTACTGGCTCTTTGACGACGAATGAGCATCATAAATTAACCCCATACATCGAGCATCGAGCATCAAGCTCTAGGGCGAACTGCTTGCTGTCGCTGCCGCTACGATGGGACAACCCTACATGCGCCTGCCGGAAGATGATAGAAATGCCAGACTTTCCGCGTACAGGAGCGCACATCTAGCAACAACCACGCTGCAGGTCGGCGGCATGACGTGCGTCGCCACCTCTTATGCTTCTGATCGTTTCATCCTTCATAGCTAATTTCATAACGCCAACAGATGCGGATCTTGCACATCAGCCGTTGAATCCGGCTTCAAAGGCGTTGACGGCGTCGGGACAGTCTCCGTCAGCCTGGTGATGGAGCGTGCCGTCGTCAAACATGACCCCCAGATCATACCCGCCGAGAAGATACAGGAGATCATCGAGGACCGTGGGTTTGATGCTGAGGTTCTCTCGACTGATTGTCCCAAACCTGTGACTACTCAATTCAACAATCACTCCTTTGATGAGAGCACCGCGATTGGAAGCGAAGCCAAGCCTGCGACGACCACTGCGACAACCACTTTCGCTATAGAGGGCATGACGTGTGGCGCCTGCACGTCAGCCGTTGAAGGCGGCTTCAAGGGCATGGCCGGCGTGCTCAAGTTCAACATCAGCCTTTTGGCGGAACGAGCCGTTATTACTTACGACGAGACGA